GGCATTGTTGAATACAGTCCAGTGCAAGTTTAACCTTGAGTTGCTAAGAGCTTAATCCTGAGCGAGGCAGATAAATGTTATGATTGTCATGGACCAGTGATAAGCAGGTGTTAATGCGTCAATCAATGTGCTGCTGTGCTCTGTATTCATAAAACCATTTATGCGTGAGGGCACATGATCATATATTTTGATATCAGGACTCTTCTGAATGTGGAAATATAAAATCAATGCTCATAACAATGAGTTTACGATTAACAGTCAGACAGCTCTCATCCCAAAACCCTGAGCCCTGATTAATCATCTAAACACCCTTCAGAGCACAAAGTCTGGCTCTGACTCTAACCTGGCATCCTAATCTGCTTTGATCCATCTCAGTCATTGGATGACACTGTAAACAGTGCCAGCGAATGTAGCCGAGATTGCTAGTAGCTTCCAGTGGAGACGTTTAAGACATAATATTTTGAAATATTGAGACTGTTAGCAATGAGAAATGTAAAACACAAGTTAGTTCACACTACCATTCAAATCTTTGGGGTTGGTAAGATTTTTTAAATGTTTTTGAAAGAAGTCTCTTATGCTTACCAAGGCTGCATTTATTTGATACAAATACAGTAAAACAGTAATATTGAGAAATATTTTATCATTTAAAAGAATGTAAAAAAAATTATTGGCTCAAAGCTGCGCTTAAAAGTTAGTTATCAAGCATCTCATTCGTAATTTAAGCTAAGTGTAGGACTAAATCTTAAGTGTCAGTCTTAGAGTTGATTCCCAACACTTTGCTGTGCCACAAACGGGGATGTTGGATGACGAAACACGCATGGACCAATCACTGAACAGATTTCCTTATTTAAGAATATTCTCAAATAAATTCACACTGAATGGTTAAATTCCTAATAGTTTACATTCAACACACATTTGACAATAAAGAATTTTCAAGAGAATACATTATGGTAAGGAAACGAATTGTCATCACAACCTTCAATTTAGGGTTGTGCCGGTAGACGAGAGTATCGTGTATCGACGATAGTCAGAGATATCGCCTGTTGCTGATTTCTTTTTGACGACAGCAAGACGATTGTTATTATTATCATCCGTCAAAAATATAGGCACCTATCTTTAGTGAGAGCCGCTTCAGAAACTTGCCGCGGCGCGGATGGTGAGTAGCCGGGATCAGCTCCGGTGGCCGTGTCGGAGCCGTAACGCACCGCAGACGTGTGCAGTGTAAATAAGGGGTAAGAGATTTATTCATGATACAGTGTAGGTAGCTTCACTGATTATAACAGGAGTGTTTTTAAAGAGCATATAATACTCACGCTAGACTGAAGTCAATTATGATGTTCTTTGGTAATGTAAATATTCTTTGCTTGTTTCTGTTTGAATAACTGAGGAAATGTAACTGCTTTATTAACTGCTCGTCGTCAAACATTTCAAGAGCATTCTTCCTCTCCTGAAAGATTCGCGCAGTCTCTGTCTCCTCAGCGCCATCACAAGCCCCTACTGCAACTCCTAACCACTTGAGAGACCTTTCGAGCTGTCTTAAATAACTGGGAGAGTAAAAGTGATTCTTAGCTTTAAGAAATGTAATAACTTGCTTTTATACTTAAATTTGAAAGTAGGAGTACATTTAATGAATTGTCAGCACTTAAGACTAAAATGGCACTTTGAGAAGCTTGATAAATACGGGCCCTGATTTCTATTTGAATATATTTTACAATGTAATCTATTCAGTAAAGCTGAATTTTCAGCAGCCATTACTCCATCTTTAGTGTCACATGATCCTTCAGAAACAATTCTAATAAGATTTCATATATGGTACATATATCTGCTCTTTATTTTTTAGACAATAAGATGGAGAACACTGGTTCAGCATGGCATAATGACACTATCAACGGCTTGACCTATACATGCTACTTCCTGCTAATTATAACTACTCTCACATCATGAAAGCTCTTAATTTGATTTAAACCATTTAAAACAAGTTAACAATCCAGTCACTCTCAATCACATTATTATTATTACAAATCAGTAAGCAGGTGAGACATGCAAAATGGGTCACAAGCAGAGTGTGTTTCTTATTGCCTAGTTTTCTGGATAAAATAATTGAAAAGCACAGGGTGCACCATTGACTCTATTTTTATTACTTATTTATTTATAATTTTTGTGCTGTTTACAGAGAACAGGGGTTTCACAGAGAAGAATGTGACTTCTCAGGAAACACGTTTTTTTTGAGTGACATCTGTCAGGGACATGCATGGTTTTGAAAAAAATTACCGAATTTTTCATGTTTTGAAAGGAGTCTCTTATGCTCACTAAGGCAGCATTTAATTAACCAAAAGTACTGTAGAAACAGAAATCTTGTACTATAACTCAAAATAGCAATTTTCTATTTTTGTATATTTAAAAATGTAATAAAATAAATATTGCTGTGTTGTCAAAGCTGAATGTTCAGCAGTCATTACTCAGTTTTGAGCAGCCATTACTCAAATAATTCTGATATGCTGATTTGGGGTTTAAAAACATTTGTTATTATCATCAACTTGGAAAATAATTGTTCTGCTAAATATTTCATGGAAACCATGGCATTTTTTAGGACTCATGAATAGAACATTAAAAGAACAGAATAAACAAGAAATATAAAACTTTTGTAACATTATAAATGTCTTTTCTGTGACTGACAAAGTATTTATATAAATGAAATATTATACTACTTAAACAGTTTTAGCCAAGAATTCCACAAGTGGTGCCATTGTAATCAGCATTTACAGTGACACAAGTTACGGAATTTATACCAAAACTGTGTCAAGAATACATATCATATATCAACATGAATCATCATAGACCTTTTATATCATTAACTTTTTTTAGTCAAAACTTTGGGGGATGTAGTAATGAACTATACACACACAGCTGAAAACAATCTATTTATGTCATCAGTCTGTCTTAACAGATTCCACAACTTGCATCTGTGTAAGTAGAAAGACAAATAGAACACTGAATCAAAGTGTTGAGCAGCCATTGTTGAAATTGTTTTTCAGGAAATCCTTCACTGACTCATGTTCTACTGTGGCCCTATCTCACACTTTACAGCTTAGCTACATTAGAGAGCACCAGAAAAGCACAGCCACTGAGGATTACTGATGCAGATATTATCAGCATGCGTTTCCACTGCATCCATTATCAGATGCCTCTGTTCCCTACTTCAGCTCATTGTAATGGCCCCCCGAAACTTCATGTCTGGTCTTGAAGCTGCACCAACAGCTGGTCTCTGTGGGCCTTCTATTTTTAAAGCTCTTATTACAGAATCAAAGAACACACAAGGCCCAACATACCAGTCTGTCAGAGATCAAGCAAGTGTGGAACAGCAGACTATCAGAAAAAAAATGCAGGTACCAGGTGAGTAAAGGTGGGACAATGGAACACAGGGAGTAAGTACTGAAACAGCCATTTAAACGAAGATAAAGTGGCTGTGTGAAAGAAAAAAAGGCTATAAACCCTAAGTCAAAGGAACATATAAATAAGTAGCTCATTTATGAATGCATTCAAAACTTTACGGCTGCCTTGAAAATGTCAAGCACTTAGTAATAAAAGGGTTAAAACCACAGTATCGTGTCATTGTCTAACTGAAACCAAACCTGCTCAGAGAGAAGCTCTAATAACACCTTGCGTGACCTTGCAGTTTAAATTTGCAAAAGCTCTGTTGCGAAGCCACATGGGAGTATGCGAAACAAATATATAATTTCCATTTTAAGAGAAACAGGATGGATCAGGAAAAAAAACTTTAGCATTCATACTGAAATTGTGAAACTGAATTTTGCCTCCTGATTGGATGTTTGACAACATGTGTTTCACCTGAATCTCTTTATCCATGTGCTCACTTACAAGAGGTCTACTCAATGTGCTACAGAAAACAAACTGCCCACTTACAAAAGGGCAAAGGTCAAGTTAGGCAACTTTAAAACTTTCTAAAATTGCTAACCTGTCCTTTTGTTGAAACTGAGCAGTTAAACTGACTAAATTTAATAGAGAATAAAAACATTTTGCACATGATTATGCAACTATCACAAAGTTCTACACATCCTCTGCCACTTGGGTATTTATTAAATATTTTAGTTTATGGATTATGCATTCACATACCAAGTGTTTAATACTGCAATTCAGAAGTTCCCATAAAATCACTGCATTAAATACATTTAATGAATCATGTAAACAGAGACAGTTTTATGCATACACACAAATATATCATGCTTCTCTGATTGTATTTCACACTCTAAACTGAGGGCAGTTCATGCTGACAGTAGAGTGAAAAGGCCTCTCTCCTGCCAACCACTGAGCATGTATCAAACAGAGACACGCTTGCTATTAATAGAATGAATCTCTTGCTGCATATACAGTTTAACGGTCTGTGAAAACATGTGGACTTCACATACAGTCATGACTTTTCACTATAGGTGCGCAATGAAGAAACAACATATACAGCTGTTGAAAATCTGACTGGGCCAAAATCACTTCCGAAGCAGTCAAGGTTTTCTCCACCATGAACCCAGCACCTGTTCCAGCACATCAAACCCAGCTTATGTTGCAGACTGGTGGCACTTTCAAATACATTAGCCTACTGCTATGCTACATTAAAATAAAACCTTTGATCAACACAGCTCAGAAACTTGTAGTAAAAACACACAGACAGGAAGCATGACTAGAAGGAGAGGAAATTATCTACAGCTCGTTAGTAATATGTGTGTGTGTGTGTACATATATATATATATATATATATATATGAACAATGCAGGGCCAGATGAGGGCAAAACAGGGACTTTACCTTAGTTAGACTGTTGTAATGTTAATTAGATACTCGTGAAACTGTGTAAAGTTCTTTGGTTTAATAAATAAACTAACTCAGGAGGGTAGAACCAAGTGATTGTCTTGTTTTTCTCTAGAGTTTAAGCCTGCACATCTGCAACTAAGACCTTTACATTAGTTTAACCCTTAAGAGATCAATTTACCTCTTTTGCGATTACATTGAGGGCATCTTCCTCAGCAGTCAACCCATTTTTGCTGGGGGTTCTTTTACGTCCTGGCCCTTGAGACCCCATTGGTAACCTTTAATATCCTTCTGAGAAACACACGCTCCTTTACGCGTGAGAACCGATCCTTAGTAGAATTATTCCTTCAATAAAGGCATAAGAAAAAGAAAGCACGTTTCCGACTCTAACCAAAAACAGCAACGCTACGTCGTGTCGTTCGCGACGCGGTTCATTGTGTTACATCCGTCTTTTTTTTTTTTGCACTCTTCCTAGTGCTGTACTCTGAAAGACTGAAGAGTCACCGGTGCCGAGAGCGCAAACGCGTTTTCATGACACACGTGTCGCCGCTGAGGAGCTGCCAAAATGGCTGTAAAGGATCTAGAGTTTGTTTGCTCAGAGTTGGGTTGTTTAACAGTGTGATTGTCAGTACTATAACGTCTGGAATAAAAGTTTTCTCGCTTTAGTTCATTATTGGTGCGCTAAAGGATTCGAGCGTCTGTTAGGGGAGTTTGAGGGCTCGCACACGCCCTCTTCGCTATTTTTAATCATGGGAGTCTGGTGCTAAAAACAGAAACCTTATCTTGCACTTCTTAAAGTCATACACATGTATGACTTTACAAGTCGTACACCTTTAACAATAATACACTTTTACACTTCATTCTGAAGATAAATAAACTAGAGGAAAATATAATAAACCGGACTACTGGTTTAACTGGTCTTAGCCTAACCGTGTGCAGTTTAGGTGTTCTCAAGCAGATCTTCCATCCTTACCAGTTTAAATAACAAACTACACTAAGACTGGAGACAAAACAGCTGTTATTTTCTCAGCAGAAATGTGTAACCAAATACCCCAGCCACGAAGAAAGAAAGAAAGAAAATGAGTGAATAAAACAATTAACTCATATAATCTGACTTGCCAAAATCTCGTTTTTTCATCTTTATCATACAGGTAGGCAACTTTAGTTTTGTATGGCTGCAGTTGCTGGTGCATGTTGACATCCAGTGGTAAAAACGTAAACTTAGTCATAATACGATGGAAGTTTATTGCTTCGGTAAGAAAACAAAAAAAGGTCCAGTTAAGAATCACACATTTTGGCCGTAAGTGTTTGTGGGTTGCCTGCCAGCAATTGATGAGTAGCCTAAAACGAATCAGCTGTGCACGGGTGATTGTGATTTTAAAGCTCACAGTTCGGTTGCTGTTTAGTAGATTTGCGACCTGTGGGTGAAAAACATGTGTACGTTCATTCTGTTATTGCACTTTTTATGTGTTTGGTTTGGCTTATTTAGTCTCTTCGGTTAATTTTCTTTTTCAGCCGCAAAGACAGTGTTGATCGTGTACGCACACCAGAGCGCCGGGTCTTTCAATGCGGCTGTTAAGACTGCTGCTGTGGACGAGCTGAAGAAACAGGGCTGCCGCGTGCTTGTGTCTGACCTGTATGAAGTGAAATTCAAGGCCACGGCAACAGAGGATGATATTACTGGTGCGGGAGGCAGTGTTTCGTTTGTTATAATAGTAAACTAAGAACTAGTCCCTTATCAGAGCTCAGTGGCAGTTATTGCACGAATTTGTTTCTCAGGAGCGGTGAAGAACCCTGAGCATTTCTGTTATGGAAATGAGACCATGTTGGCCTGGCAGGAGGAGCGACTAGCTTCTGACATCGTAGATGAGCACAAGAAACTAAAAGAAGCAGATCTTGTTATTTTTCAGGTATGCCATTTCTTTTTGCAAATGTGTGTTTGTGTGTCCCCCCGTCCCCCCGGTCCTTGTAAGTCTTTGACCATTTTTATTGTCAATTTCTTGAAGTTTCCCATGTATTGGTTCTCTGTTCCTGCCATCATGAAAGGCTGGATGGACCGGGTTCTTACGCTTGGTTTTGCATACACCTTGGAAAAGCGCTACAGTGAGGGCATCTTCAGGGTGAGGCCTTCCCATCATAAACCTCAGACTTGCATTAATCACGAAAGATTATCAAATGTCTTTAATGAAATTCGAGTGGGCTGTTAGCATTGGAAGAATTAGTGTTTAATTTCATGTCAGGATAAGAAAGCCATGTTATCCTTCACCACTGGTTCCCATGAGACCATGTTCAGCTCCAATGGGATCAACGGAGACATGAATGTTACTCTGTGGCCAATTCAAGTAAGAATATCGTTTTTATTTATTTATTTTTTCTTCTGGTCCCTAGACCCTTTATCCCTTTGAAGCTCTCACTCTGTAGGGTAAACCCTTTGAAGGGATTAAGGGCATGGGGATGAACCCTGGAACGCAGCGTTAATTGAGTGTGCGTGTCATACAAACCTGAGACTCCTGCACTGATGTTTCCTCTTTTTGTAGAATGGGGTCCTCAACTATTGTGGCTTCCAGGTCCTTGCTCCACAGATCTTCTGGGCACCCACACATCTCTCTCCTGAGGCTCGCGAAGGCCTGTTGGAAGGCTGGCGCACTCGTCTTCAAGGTCTCCTAAACGAGGCACCTCTCACCTTCCCACCTGCAGACATCTTTGACAAGGGGAAAGGCTTTCAACTGAAGCCTGAAGTCCGGGAGAAGCAGGCTGATTCCCCTTTTGGTCTCACTGTGGGTCACCACCTGGAGAAACCGCTGCCACCCCAAAGCCAGATGAAAGCTGGGGTGTGAAACCTGCTGCAGCACTGTCCCCATGTGGCCATGTCCTTGTTTAACAGTCTCGAAGCTGAATTTTTGACATGAATAAATTTTGTTCATGTTTTGAATGAGTATTGGAATTCATTTTTAGTTGTCTAACCCCACAATTGCTCTGGTCTTTAACAAAAAAACGTGTTGTTCCAAACCCATAAGACTGTTTAATCTTCAAAACACTAAGATATTTTGAATGAAACCTGAGTTTAGATATTCAAAAGGTTGTAAGGGCATTGTTAAACTAATCGATAAGAATTGAGTAAAGAGATACTGTCTTTATAGGATGAGCAGAATTAATTTAGGCTTTTATATATCTAAACACGCATACATAGAGCAAATCACATAAGGTAAACATGGAAGCTTGTGTATGTCAATGAGGTTTGATTTAGTATGTGACGTGCACTAATTTTATGTTTGATGTATGTGTTTATATGTGAGTAGAAACCTAAATTAAATCTTAAAGCATTTTTATCTCTTCAAAAGTATTTGATTAACCGTTCAATTCATATGGATTGCCTTTCTAACCTTTTTGGATGTTTTCAGTTTTGGTTACCTGGACTAATTAGAATTCATTAAAAATATATGAATTTGTGTTTTGAAGACTAACCAAAGTCTTATGCGTTTGGAACAAAATAAGGGTGAGTAAGTGACAGTTTTTTTTTTTGGTGAACTATCCCTTAAGAGTGAGTCGGTTAGAAACCAACAGAGAAGTTAATTTTGTGCTCCTTAGTCAAGGATTTCGCTACTCTATTTTGTTGCTCCTTCAGTGGTCTCCCCTAGGGGCTTTTATCCAAGCAATTCTAAGGCCCCAAATTTCAAGACCAAATGTGTTTGCTCTGTTTCAGAACGAGCAGCACCTTAATATGGCACATTTATCCAAAGGGTATTTGTCCCAGCTGTGCACTGATTTCCCATTTCCTGTGGAAATTCCTCAGAGGCATGTCCTTTTCTGCAACAAAACTCTTCAGCAGATGTCTGCAGATAATGCTTTGAAATCCTGCTGCGTTTTTATGCTGTATTAATCTAAAACAGATCCTAAATTTTAATCAAGTGTAATCTGGAAACAGGTAGCCATGCAATCTCAAACTTGGAGTATATTACTTTTACTTTTTTTTTTTTTTAATAATTAGTTTTCTTGCTTCCAGCTAGAGTGTGAAGAACAAAACATGAAAAATGTAGCTTATCTGATCAGGCATTTTAAACAAAATTGAATTTAAAATGCGAAATAGAGATGATTTGTTTGAGATAATAGAATACTACTAACAGAATCAAATGTGCAAGATAATAGAATCGTGTAATATCAGTGTAGCATATTACCAATGTATTTTTTTTATCGTTACATATAGTGTGTTTGCTATTTCACATACTATTATTAAAAACACTATTCTGTGCAGTAAGCAGTTGAGTATTCGTTTACAAACATTCCCTATTAAACAGAGAAACTGCTCAGGCCTGCATAGTGACCTCTTGTGGTGACATCGAGGCTACGCTAAAATATCCCAGGTTCAAGGTGTGGCTGGTTAGCATGGTCTAGTTAGCTGCAGTTTCAAAAGCAATGCAAATCATAGTTTGATTGCTAAGTTTTTTTTTGTTTTATTTTGAGGTCCATTTTTGGTTGATATGCACCAAACAAGACCAGTGTTAATGGTAACTAAAACTGTTAAAATAGTTTTTATTAGCTGAAATAAAGATAAAATAAATTTTACACATTAGATGAAAAATAATTAAAATGGTGACTGGAAACTAACTTGAAATACGTTAAAGTTGAAGTACTAAAATTGCTGAAACTGAAAAAAATAAAGCTAATTAGAAATATCTAACAAAAAACTAAGATATAGCTAAGATAGCTTTATAATAATCCTGGCATTGTATATTATGAATATTATTTGCTCGCTGATGAATTGCTTTGTTCCTCTATTGTAAGGTGCTTTGGATAAAAGCTTCTGCTAAATGCAGAAATGTAAATGCATAAACGTAATCATCCACTTTAGGATCGAGTTTCAGTTTTGAGTAGATTATAAAGTAGTGTCTGTCCAACACACATGCTGGAATGCATAGCTAAACTTTGATGGCTCTGTTTACATATGGTTTAAACAAATCATCTTCTGACCCTGTTCACAAGGTGGTTTGTTTTAACCATATGTCAAATTAATGTATTGAAAAGCCATCCCGATAACATTAAACGAGAAATGAGGGGAATACATTTTGTTTAGAAGAGACCTTTCACTAAGCAATGGTCATGGACTTCAAAACAGACTTGCTGCAAACTTCAAAATATTACATAATGTTCAGTTTCATGTATTTTTTATTTTTTATTTTTTTGCATTAAAAAAAACAGGTGACAGGTCTTAGTCAAGACGGTTATATGGGATCTACAAGGGAAGCATTTGTGGTTTAGGTGACAGTCTTGATGCACAGTCTCCTGGGCGTAGTGCAGTTTTTGCATTCACCGCACCTTTGCCAGTCCATAACAGACACTCTCAACACTAACATGCAGACCACAAGCAAGTTTTAAATGCACAGGACGTTTTCAGAGAGAACTGTGCAATACTAATAATAAATATTGAAAGTGACAGTTGAAGGCTTCTAGTTAGCTATAATACAGAACAGATATAACAATGGTTTGCATGTATATCCTAATATAAAGTCTTAAACTTAGACTAGATGCACCTGAATATGAGGCTTTTTGTGAGCTCTTCAATTAACTATCCTTTTTTTTTTTTTTTTTTTTAAACCATGACATTTTATCATGAGACCACTAATAGAATTAAACTGATTGTCAAAATTGATCAATTATTTTGACAATGGATGAATTACATCTTTGATTTAGATGTAAAGCACATGATAGGATTGTTCTGTTTTGTTTTTTCAATGCGCAACCCATAAGGAATCGCTTATATCATGTTTCCATGACTCAAAACAAGGAGCCAATTAGAGACTTCAAAACGGCACACAGTATTC